CCACATTTTTTAGGGAAAATTAAGGATGTACATTATACATCCATTCCATGGTTATACATCCATGGTTATAATGATTACATACTATGGGTATAATAATCAATAATAACACCCCATAATAGTGTATAACATGCACTAAATCATTAGTATGCATTATACACAACAAAATGTGATATGATGTGTCTTGGTGTGGGCCTCTTTGCATTCATCTTTATTGGAATTCTCTGTACTTCCTGGACTTTTGTGTCTTATTCTTTCACCAGGTTAGGAAAGTTTTCAGTCATTATTTCTTCAAGTAGTTTTTCAATTTATCGCTCTTTCTGTTCTTCTAGTACCCTTATGATGCATATGTTGTTATACTTCACATTGTCCCAAAGGTTTGTTAAACTGTCTTCATTTTTTAAAATTCTTTTTTTCTTTTTGCTGCTCTGATTGTTTTCTGCTATCTTGTCTTCCAAATTGCTGATTTGGTCCTTTTCTTCATCCAACCTACTGTTTATTCCTTCTGTTGTGTTCTTTATTTCAGATACTGTATTCTTCATTTCTGACGGCTTTTTTATGGTTTCTATGTTTTTTTTTTATACTTACTATCTCTTTGTTGAAGTTCTCACTAAGTTCCTTGAGTATCCTTATAACCATTTTTTTTTGAACTCTGTATCTGATAAACTGCTTTCCTTCATTTCATTTAGCTCTTTCTGGAGATTTCTCTTTTCATTTGGAGCATTTTTTTTTTGTTTCCTCATTTTGGTTGTCTCATTGTGTTTGTTTCTATGTACTAGGTAGATCTGCTATGACTTTCAGTCTTGGTAGGATGGCTTCGTGGGACTCAGTGGTACGGTCTTCACGATCACCTGAGCTGGGTGCTCCAGGAATATTCCTTGTGTGGGCCCTCCTGTTGTAATCGAGTCTTGATTTCTATTGGCCTGTTCATGCATGGGGTTGACTCTCGGGCCAGCTGACTGTGAGGACTGACTTACATACATCAGTGTACGAGCTCCTGTCCAGGTGGCTGACCATAGGAAGTGGAATTTGCTTCTGCAGGGCCTGGTGCCTTCTGAGATCTCCCTTTGGATATGCCACTTGCCAAAGTTACTTGGATCCTTCTCTAATGTTGTCTGAAGCTGGTAACTGCATGTGTTGGTTCTGGGGCCTCTTGGGAGGGACTCTGGTTCAGGCCAAATGTCAAACATGACTGTGAGTGGCTCTGGGCAACCTGTTTGGAACTACAAGTGATCCACAGTTTGTGGGTGCCTGAGTGTGCATGGGAAGGACCAAGCTGTGCACAAAGGCCAGCTTTTACTAGCACTGGGCACAAAGCAGTTCAGCAAAAGTCCTAAGGCACCCCAAGATCTGCCTCTGCCTTATTCCACATGTCATCTGCCTTATTAGGCTCATTCAGTGAAAGTGCCTCAGGTGGTGCTTGAGTTGCATGAAGTAGGTTCTCAGTGAGTCACCAGGTAGGGGAAAGTGGTGTTCACCAAATCAATACAGGTTCAAACTCAGTGCCAGTGCTTGATCTGAGGACACTCAGCAAATGTCCTAGGGTATATGCCAACTCTAGTTGCAACCCCTGGGTGCTCACACACTTTTGTGGTGGGGTGGGGTCTCAGTGAGTCATCAGGGTGAAGCCAGCAGAATTTATTAGGCCCAGGCATACCAAGATTTGGCCATATGAAGGGGGACTCTGCTCCAGTTTGGTGTGTGAGGGAAAAATTTCCCCAGTCCTACAGTTATACAACTCGGACTATCCTAGATTTTGCTGGGAGTCTGATCTCAGCAAGGTGGGGCTGCTGGCAGTTGGGAGAGGTGTCCATCAGGCTCAGAGGTAGGTTGTGGGGGGTGCTGCCTCCCCTGAATCCCCACTGCTCTGGAGCCACAAAACTCAGTCTTGTCCTGAATTCTGCCCAAATCTTGGCAGGGTGGGGCCAGCAGGTGTCAGGAGGATGGGGCTCCTGGGAGGCTAGAGGGTGGGGCTAGAGGTGAGGCACCAGTCAGTTTCACAGAAAAATGGGGGGAATAGCCCCCACCCCAAAGACACACAACTCCATCACTGACACCCCCTGAGTCTGCTCAGACACCCACACTCTGGTCCACGCAGCTGACTCCTCGGCAGTGCACCAGCTCTGCAAGGTGGGGCCACAAGGAGTTCAGAGGGTGGAGCTATTGCTTTCTCCCAGGCTGATGCTATGTGGAGAGCAGTGCTCCAGCCAAGTAAGATGGTGCCTGGTGTATGGAGGAATAACTCAGTACATGTATCTTGGTGGCTGTCCCTTCTGCTCTGTCCCCAGAGCCACAAACTGCAGTCTCTCCTCACGCAACTCTAGTCCACTCTGCCCTCCCTCCACCGGAGCCAAGGGTGAGTGACTTCAGCTGAGATTTTGTGCACTGGCCCTTTAAGTGAGCACCTGTGTCTCTAGCAGACCCTGTCTCTTTCTGGCAGACAGAATCCCTGCAGATTTTCACAGCCAGGTGTTATGTGGTTGCCTATTCCTGGCTCTGGTGCTGTGGGCTAGGGAACCCACTGTCTTCCAGTTTTACATGTATCTTCCCATGCATGATTTGGGGGACTATTAGTTGTTTATCAACTCCAGTGTCTTTTATAGAACCAGAACCCCTGATTTTCGGTTGGACACAAGTCCATTTTGAATAAAGAGCACAAATGCAGCCAGCCGTGGCAGAAGAGAAATGTACACCTTTCAAGTTGTATATGTCCTTCTTTCTCCATTTTCTCCAGCTGGAATTCCAACATGATAATAAGCCATCTTGACATATAGGTGAAGGAGGCCTCAGAGATTGTGGTTCTGTGATACTAAGGTTCCTAGACAACATCCTGGGACAGAACTACCATCCTGGGACTGCTTACTCAAGGCTGTTCCATGAGAGAAATATAAATTTTGATTTGTTTAAGCCATTTAAAATTTGATTTTGGTTATAGTAGCTCAAGTGGTATCTAAACATGCATGTGGGGGAAGGAAGGGGGAACTAATCAATGTTGTATATACGTAGAAACTTGATCAGTAAGTAACAAAAGTAGTTTTGAATGGTGGATGGATGTAGACTATAAGGAAGTTGCTAGGAGCAGCAATACTGTCTCTGTTGATGCTAAAGAAGTAGCTGAGGCTTTAAAAAACATTAGAAGTATAGGATTTCCATGTATGTAATGCAATGCCTAGAAATGCATTGGTGACAAACACTATTGCTTATCGCTGTAATTCAATAAACAACTTAATGCAATCTCAGAAGAATGATTCAAAATCCATTCCAATACTCTTTGGCTGACCTCAATTTGAGGTTTAGCATTCCATGTTTGTGGAATTCAGATTTTAATGAAGAAGAATTAATGAAAGAATATGGAATAGAACAGAGAAATTCTTCATTTAGTAGGAGAAAGCAAAGTTATCTGTACTTTGGAAGTTCACAGATGTGCTTCAGACCAAGCAGGCTGAAGTATTTTGGCTGTACAAACAATAGACTTGAAAGATAGTAATCTGACTAGATTTCCATCTCCTAAGGTTCACAGAAATTACAAAGTGACATTAGGGAGTGCAGAAAATATGTGAAAACAAAGGTTATCAAAATGTCATTATGCCCTTGGACTTCTACAGTAATCCTTGTTCCTTTTGAGAACAGTCACACTTTGTATATGTTATATATAGAATGTTAAATTCTCCAGCCAAAGATGATGCATACCTTTGCCTAGAGTAAATGTATTACTCAATCAACTAAAGTCCTTAAAGCCACCTACACCACGATTGATATGAAGTTTTTGGCCAGTGCCCTAGGGTGAATTGGGGTGGTGTCTAGCATCTTTCCCATTCAATATGCATCTGGAAGTTCTCCTTTCCTTTCAGTCTACAGAAAGGCTGTGTCTGGGGAGGGGTGGGGAGTCTGTGTTGCTTGGGGAGCATAAGGATGCATATCAATTACTCCATTTGGCAGGCAGTGCAGACACACGGCCCTCTTATCTATCCCACCATTATGCAGGCCTTTCCTGTCCGGGAAGCAGAACTCTTTACAACATGTTTTTAGTTTCAGGAATAACTAACTTGTGTGAAGTACTTATGAACTTACAAAGTGCTTTAGGTTATTTGTTTTTACACTACCAGGAATGAAATAGACTGATCAACAAATATTTGTGGAGCTTTTCTCTTAGACCTAAGATAAAATGAGCCCACAGATCTCCCAAGTTGGAAATACTCTGGCTTTTTACCAGTGATAACTTCTGATGAGGCCACCATCCAAAACATCAGGGACTTTTCTCAATCACACAAAGTTCTCCTCATGAATATTCTTCTCTACACACTCTCTCCTTACCCAGTTCATTGTTGAAATTGGTCTTTTAGTGTAGCAAATTCAGATTTTGGAGTAAACCCCAATTTATACAGGTCTGTTAAGAATATGGTGGGTTTTTAAAAATTTTATTTTGCCATAGCTTAACCCAATGATTAGGCAACTGTATGTTGTTGAAGTATTTTACTTTTCAGTTCTGCCTTTGTATCAACTAACTGCACCTACCTACAGCTCTTGGTCATGAAGGAAGCAAAATCCTTTCTATCCATTGTGATCAGGTTTCTCCCTTAGTATCAGGTCAGGCTGTATCTCTAGCAGTTTCTCGATGTCCCATTAGACTTCCATTTGTAGATGACAAGACACCAGGCTTCTGGCAGACACTCTGAACTGCTACTCTTTTTCCTTCCCTTCCAGGCATTTTGTAGCCCATCTACCTTCTATCACCCGCCTTGTTCTCAGCAGCATCTCCCTTCCTCAGCATGCATGATCCTCACTGAGTTTGCATGTCCAAGTCTCTTATTCATATACCTGCCTGTCCACACATATGGGCAAACTGTTAGCCAACTTTTGCTTAAGCATTTCCACTTCCAGTTTATGTTGTGTTACTTCTCTGCATGAAAACTGATAAAAAATTCATGTTTCCTAGAGAACCCCCAACATCATCTCTGGCACTTCTGCTCCTCTCCTCCCACCCCGGTCCTCGCCCCACTTACCAGCCATCGAGGAGACAACGACAATGCTTCCGTTGCTCTTCTTCAGCATGGGAAAAGCAGCCACACTCAGGACCACATAACTGAGGTAGTTCACCTCCATACTTTTGCGCACAAAATGGATATCATCAGTAAATAGTTTCAATGAAGTTTCGATGACGTGGTTGAGAATGAGCATGTCTAGTCCTCCTGCAAGAAATGACCGTGTTGAGAGAAACCATCTGGGGTTCATACCTTTCCTTCTTCCCCCCTTCCCAAAGTTCCCTGAGCAAAGTCCCAGAGAGCAAGTCCAGAAGAGGGGAGAGGAGAAACAGCCTCACCCATGATCTTTTCAGCTTTCGCAACAAATTGCTCTGCGAAGGTCATGTTCTCCATGGTGCCAGCAATGTAGTATGCTGAGGCTGCCCCATACTCCAGGCAGTCAGATACTGTCTGCAGGGACACAGTGACATTGGTGTCAGTATTAGCTGTGGACCCTTGGGAGCAGTCTCTGAAGTAAGGGGATATATTTCTTTATTTCTTTTTAAAAGATGTTATTTATTCTTTTTAGAGAGTGGGGAGGGAGGGAGACAGAGGAGAGAAACATTGGTGTGCAATTGGTTGCCTCTCACATGTCCCCTGACCCTCAACCCAGACATGTGCCCTGACTGGGAATCGATCCAGCAACCTTTTGGTTCACAGGTCAGAGCTCAATCCACTGAGCCACACCAGCCAGGGCTAAAGGGGATTTAGATGAGAAGTTGCTCACAGCTCTGTCTTGATAAGAAATGGTAGCAGGTTTGTGTGTATGAGTGTAAATTTAGTGAACGTATATGTGTGTGTGCGCTGCTAAATGCAGATTGCTGACACAATCTTTGTCCTCTGTAGGTGGTACTTTTTGGAAGTATTTCAAGTAGGGTGTGAACAGATGAATTATCACTGTGCTGGTGTTCAAGTCCATGATTTGTGTTTATGAGCTTCTGTGAAGAGATGTTTCTGAACAATGCTAGTTTCTATGTGGGTAGCCCTAGGTTTCTTAATGTTGCATATATCCTTGGGTTTGTGAGTCTGAGCATAGGAGAGGGCATGTGTCTGAGAGTTTGCATGGGTACAAGAATATGAATTAATGAGTAGGTACTGGAATTTAGGTATCTGACCACATAACTACATATCTGTGACTTTGTGTGTAAATGGGTATGCATAGGCATGTCTATGAGTATATGTAGCCCAAGGACTTTGTTTATATTCATGTGTGCATGAAAATGAACACTGAAATGCATATTTTCATAATATTGTGGGTGTCTGGGTGCATGAACCCATGTGTGTGTATGCGCACGCATGTGTGTTTATGTGTGTGTATGCATCTGTGTATGGATGTGCCGGCCTCTGTGTGTCGGCATGTATGCATAAGTATATATAAGAATATATCTGAGCATGTGAGTATATGTGTTTGTGGGCACAGAGTGCTCACCTTCTTTAGAGCTTCTTCTGACCTTGCTGTCACCATCACATGGGCTCCCATCTTCGCCAGATGATAGGCTATCTCTTTTCCAATCCCCTTGCTGGCCCCTGTGACAATCACTTTCTTTCCTTGGAGCATCTCTGGGAAAACCCAAAATGAAGTGAGGAGCATACCCAACATGGTGGCAATGTGCCTCCTTCTGTGCTAGGTGTGGGCAGCCTCATTGCAATGTCTAAATGTTAGGAGTCCAGATCAGCTTATCTCAAATTGCATAAACCAGTGAAGGAAAGTTCAAGTCTTTTATAAATATGCTCTGAAATGGGGGTTTGGCTTAGTTTCTCAAAACCAAGCCTTCCTACTATCTTCGCTTAAAAAAAGCCTCCAGGAACAGAAGTTTCAGCTAGAACACTAGAGTTCCAGATTTTTCTGGATTCAGCCAGTCTTGCTGGGTTGAACTAAAATGCAAAAAGTCATCAAAATATGTGCTCAGCAGGGATTTTTCCTGACATCTATTTAGTCATCAGCTCCAGACTACTTTCTTGCCTCCCGCTATTAGTCTGTCCACAGAGCCCAAATATTTTGCTAAGTTGTGAATTTTGGCATTACTCTCATTTTTGTAGGGGATCTGAACTTGCTTTTCCATTAAGAGTGCCAAGTACAACATGGACTATTTGGCACTCTCTTGACTACATGGTCACCCTTCCCCATACTCCTTCTACTCATAGCCTGTGTCTGGAGGACACAGAAATACTCTCCCATCTCAGGGTCCCTTATTGTTCAGCAACTTTGGAGATCAAGAAATCATCATGATCCTTAGGCTCCCCAGCCAACCCTGTTTTTTGGGCTAAAAATCTATTCCTCCAGATTTGACACAAAAGAGGCACTTACCTGGTCTGAATCCCTCATTTGCAGAATAATAGTAGTAGGCCAAGAAGATCCCCAGAATGGGGAGGAGATAGTTTTTCACAAAAGCCATCAGACAAGGATCTGGAACAAGGGGTCCTGTAGGACAGACAGAGAAGGTCTACACAACTTTCTAGAACTTCCTAGGCAGACAGCAGCCTCTGAGTTGTGACACCAGGCACAAGAGGGTGGAATAATATCAGGCAGTGCTATCCAGTTTCCCTGTAAGAGCAGCGATTGGTTATAAGTGAGATCTCATTTGTCCTGGCAGCCTTAGTAAGAGATTTCACAATGTAAGATGATTATTCTATTTCACTGAGTGAGAAGAGACTTATAGGTGGCCAAGCTCATGACTGTTTAGGACTAGATTCCCATGCATCACTACCCTGAGCTCATCTTCCTCTTAACACCACTCATACCAGAAATCAATAGCCTTACAAAAGTGTATGTCAAAGACACAGAGAAAGTGTGTGTGGAGCTTCTGGGGAAATGTGCGTAATAGCAAAGACAGCCAAGTTCAAGCCAAATCTTGCTCTCAGCCCCACCTCTTAGACAGAAACAATTAAAAATAATAGCACAAAACACAAAAATAGCCTTAAGAAAATATGTGTACTTCTTGGGAAATAAAAAGAAAACAAGCCTTATAAGCCCCACACTCAAGTTCAACAAACATGTATTACAACATCAAAGAGGAATGCAAGCCAGCTGAACCTAGGTGGCAAGAAACGCAAGGCCAATTCAAGACTCTTCCAGGAAGTGCAATGGAATGTACACTTATGATTTTAATAGCAAATAAAGAAGAAATAATGAGTGCCAAGGGGAAAAAACGGCACTAAGCTATTAACCTGGGTCTTGTAAATGCTATAGAGGAACAAGAATCATGTAGAAGTTGCTAGAAGAGGACATCTGGTGCAGGAGAAAAAGCAACTAGCACCGTTGAAGCAAAACTGGGCTGAAAAGCCCACATCCACCTAAAAATTTATCTGGTAATGATAAAAGGACCATAGAGGAGAAACCCCTAGTAATTTAGAATTTATCATGGAAATATAGAAATAACCACCTTGGTATGTCTGTGGTAAGAATTAATTAAGGGGCAATCCTTCAAGAACAAATTTAAAATATATTATTAAGTTTTTCAACTTAAAACCAACTAATGAAACAATAAAATTTACCCCATCACTAAACAAATTCAAACTTCTGCCAGTTACCAATAAAGCTGAGAAGACCATTTAAATGTGATGATAAGGATGGGCACCAAATGTTGCAGGAGGCATATGGGTTGAAGGTAGGAGCCTGGGGATTCACACAAAATTAAGACAAATGGAGCTATGACCCCAAGTACAGAATCTGGAAACACTCACTGAATTTTCACTTCAGAGTAAGGGAAAATAATTTAAGACTCAGAGGAGAGGAAACAATTTGTCAACACAGGCCCATAGCTGTGATGTTTACTTCCAGAAAACAATGGAGATTTGAGAACAGTTGAAGGCTTGATAGAGCTCAAAGTCCATGGAGGAAAAAATAGAAAAAAATAAAGAAAAGTTAAGTGGAAATTATATTACGTACTGTTAGAACTGCAGGAAAGAGATATGTGCATAATTTTATAAATGACTTTATGCTACCAAAGTATATGACAGAATAGACTCCATTTTCAACTCTAGAGGGATGGTAATTTAAATTTTATTTTCTGAACATTAAACTGTCAATAGTACAATTATAGGAAACAAAAAAATTTCTTGAGAATATGACAATACTGAAATGATAGAAAGACGGACAAACTAGGGAAGATTATTGTCTGACAAAAAAGAAAACATTTTAAAATGCACTACAGAAAGCATAACTTAAAGGAATAAAAAATAGCAATGAGTAAGATAAACAGCAGAGTGGCAGAATGTAAAACAAATGCATCACCTATTGTTCATTGTTGACTGAATTAAAAAGTAAAGTTCAACACTGTGCTGCCTCCAAAGACATTTAAACACAGACATTAAAACACACACACACAGATTAACAATTTGATGACCTAATAGCTATCCTGCTAGAAAATAAGAATATAGAGAAAGCACCTAATAAAGTAATATTTATGCAATTAGATGAAATAATTTTTAGTCAATAAAATGCATTAATGAGAAAAGAGGGCACTGTGTAATGGTATATTGTCTTAGCAGTTCTCAAAATTTTTAGTCTCAGGATTCCTTTACAAACTTGAAAATTATTGAGGATCTCAAAGAACTGTGCATATGTGGGTTTAGCAATTGATATGATATATTAGAAATTAAGACAGAATTTTTTTAAACTCAAGAATACATAAGCATACATGTAGTTTGCTTTGTATTATCCCACATCCTTGTAGCCTCTGAAAAATTCAAGAAATAATAACAGGGGAAAAAGTCAAATAATATCTTGGTATGATTATGAAAATAGTTTTGACCTTTCAAGCCTCCAAGATGGCCTCGGAGACCCAGGAGTACCACATTTTGACTATATTATGTAATAAACACTGATCTTTTCTTTGTGTGTCCATATTTACATGTCTGGTTGTTTCATTTGCTTGCAGGCTCCTGGAGGACATGGACTACATCTTTTTCATCTTTGTATCTCTCCATCTCTCTCTGGCCTTGCTCCAAAATGGGCACGCAGCAAACCTTCGCTGTTTTAGTGTTTCTGAGGTTCTACAGCAACAAGAGGATGGCTGTCTTTCTGGAGCCTGATTTACAAAGCAGGGAAATTGCTGGGGTTCTGTGTTCTCGTCAGAACCGATCAACCTCAATCCTTAGTTCTCTTCTAGAGGTTCTCAACCAATTTAAAAAAATTTGAAAGGAATAAACTCTTTCCTACCACTCTTCCTACAACTCTTTCCTACAACTCTTTCACCTACCACTTCTTTCAAGTTGAATTTCCCCAATCAAGGAAAGTTCCACTTCTCTGTGCTACATTCCATTTTTAAAAATCAAATTTATTGGGGTAACACTGGTTAATACCATAATATTCAGGTGTACACCATTATAATTTGATATCTGTGTACTCTATTGTGTGCTCACCACTGGAAATCTAATTTCCTTCCATTACCATATATTGATGCCCATTACCCACTGCTCCCTCCCCCACCCCTTTCTTCTCTGGGACCCATCTGTTAGAATGGTTATTATCAAAAGATAAGAAATAACAAGTATTGGAGAAAAGGGGACCTCACACACTCCTGGTGGGAATGTAGATTAATGCATTCACTATGGAAAACAGCATAGAGGTTCCACAGAAAATTAAGAGTAGAGCTGCTTCTCTGGCCATGAGGCTGGGTTGGTTGGAGCGTTGTCCCATACACCAAAAAGCTGTAGTTTCAATTCCCAGTTAGGGCATGTACCTAACTTGTGGGTTTGATCCCCAGTTGGGGTGAGTACAGGAGGCAACCGATTGATGCTTCTCTCTCTCTTTCTCGCTCCCTTGTCTCTCTCTAAAATAAATAATAAAATTTCCTCAGATGAGGATTAAAAAAAAAGAGTAGAGCTACCATATGACCCAGCAACACCTCTTCTGCATGCTGCCCCTCATTTGCAATCCATTGAACATCTACAGTTTAGAGAAGGTTTTTCATGAAATAACATGTACATGACCTGGAAGATTTCAGAAATCCATAGACAGTAGGTTCCCCTAAGCTGGAACCTACTCGCATGTCAGAGGCCAGCCAGGCATTCATTCCTAGATGACTAAATGGCAAAATGGGGCCAAGAAAAATCAAGAAGGGCCCTGGCTGGGAGGTTATGTGGGTTACAGTGTCATCCTGATACACCAAGGTTGAGGGTTCGATCCCCAGTCAGGGCATATATAAGAAGCATATATAAGTGAATGCATGAATAGGTGGAACAATAAAATCAATGTCTCTCTCTCTCTCTCTCAAATCAATAAACAAAAAAAAAATATTTAAGAAAAAGCAACAAAGTGAGAAGAACACAGGTGTTGGATGAGAAAGGGACTCAGAGAGATGGGCCAGACCTGGAAGGACTAATAGGAGGTGGTGAATGTGAGAAGGAGCAGCCAGAGGGAAATTTGCATATAGTTTGCAGAAATGTGGATCCTGAGAGGACCACCTGTCATATCTGGGGCCACAGCAGCTGTTGTGTTTTTCAGGACTGTTAAGATTTGCTAAGAAAGTGGCCTCTTGTTTTTGAAAAGGAATACTGCCAGGGGAATAGTGGGGAGGCCGCACAGTAAAAGGTGGATGAACCCTCTCTGTTTGGAGGTTCTGCCTTCCCTGGGAAAATGGCACCAACATGTTGAGACAGGAAAGGATCTTAGCACAATATTAGAATGTATAAAATTCTCCCCTTCTCAAACAGAGGGATCATGCTGGAGACCATACACAAAAAACTTACCGTCAACATCATACTCAATGGGCAAAACTAAAAGCATTTTCCCTAAGATCAGTAACAAGACAGGGATGTCTGCTTTTACCACTCGTATTCAACATAGTACTGGAAGTTCTAGCCACAGCGAACAGACAATAAGAAGAAATAAAAGGAATCCAAATTGAAAAGGAAGAAATAAAATATCATGTTGTCTACCATTATTGGTAGAAGACGTGATATTATACATAGAAAACCCTGTAGGCTCCACCAAAAAACTACTAGACCTAATAAATGAATTTGGTAAAGTAACAGGCTACAAAATCAGTACTCAGAAATTGATGGCATTTCTATGCACCAGTAACAACTATCAGAAAGAGAAACTAAGAAAACAGTCCCATTTACTATTGCAAAGAAAAAAATTAAGTACCTAGGAATAAATTTAACCAACGAGGTAAAATACCAGTATTGGGAAAACTCTGGTACACTGAAGAAAGAAATTGAGGAAGATACAAATAAGTGAAAGAGTAAACGACGTTCATGGATTGGAAGAATTAATATCATTAAAATGTCCATAGTACCCAAAGCAATCTACAGATTGAATGTAATTCCTGTTAAAATACCAATGACATATTTCACAGATCTGGAAAAAATATTCCAAAAATTTATATGGAACCAAAGAAGACCCTGAATAACCTCAGCAATCTTGAGAAAGAAGAACAAAGTTGGAGGGATCACAATACCTGATGTCTAACTATACCATAAGGACACAGTAATCAAAACAGCCTGGTACTGGCATAATACAGACATATAGATCAATGGAACAGAATGGAGAGCCCAGAAATAAACCCATGTCTCCAT